AACAATTACGTCGTATTTTATATCAAAAGTTTCAATTATTGAAAAGCATACCAACATGTGAAATAACGAAGTAACAACTAACCCGTGCGTTGAATGGGCCAAAAGACTAATTATGTGTTAACAAGTGTACTCCACTATAGTATTGATTACTACGTATCTTGTTATCTATACTTTTCTTAGCTATAACTATTAAATTTTGTGGGTGCATTTGAACGTTAGAGTCTTAGAGATACTATTATTTAGACAATGGAAGTTGTTGACCTTTAGTATTAAGATTGACAACCACTACAAGAAAAATCACTTTTCGTAGTGATTATTTCGTAGCGATTGTACATTCGCTACAATATACAAGTATGTTTGTGAAATAATTAAGGATGTCGTATCATTTTTACAATCGCCATGGTTTTCCCATATAAAATCGATACGGAAAGCATAATAATACATATTCACACTATTTTTACACATTTATATAATTTTGAGAAATCGTATCATTTACAATCGCCACTAAATCCTAAAAATCGATACGAACACTACTACAAAATAGGGCAAAGGAACCATTGATAAGAAACCATATAATGTACTTAGTTGGTTTCTTAGGTGTAGAAACCATATAACAAACTAATATGGTTTCTTAGGATATAAATAAGAAACCACACTTTATGAAATATGGTGTTTTAGAACAAATTAAATAAATAAAAATTTATTGTATAACAGATTGAGGACAAAAAAAACCATGAATAAAAAACCACTGGTCCCTTACACCGTTACACGTTTAATTTTTTTATTCTTTTTTTTAGGGGAATTTTTTTTATTCTTATTTTATTGGTTAAAGAGACATTTTTTTTTATATTATTATTCAACCTTTAATTATATTAGTAACTTCCTTCCTTTATCTCTATCTTTATAACCTTAAAATTCCAACTATACTATCAAAATAAACCCTAATAAATACAAAGAGTTGCAAGTCGCCGATTACCACTCACCAACAGTCAATCACAAGCGTAGACGATTAAATCACCACTCCGAGGTCGTCTATATCTATTGCAACTCCGACTTTGTCGCTGCTCCAAGGTCTCGTCATTAATCGGAGCTTTGAGGTCGTCGTCGTTAATCGCTGCTCCAATATTTCTTCATCAATCGTTCCTTAAGGTCTCATTTTCTTCTTCACCTTCTTTTATATGATTAAGATATGTACTTTGTCTGAGTTTGCAATTTTTTTGTTGATTCATTACTTGTTTTTTGTTTGATGTTTTTAGTTAAATTTCGTTGATTTATTAATATAGTCCAGTTAAAAATATGCTTCCATTATGTAATATGTCCAATTTTCGATTCAATAATTTAAATATAAAATAAGAAAATTGGGTATGTTGTTACTGGATCTATAGTTTCTATGATAAATTGAATATGTTGATTAAGTGGAATTTAATTCAATAACTAACTATCAGTAATGATTTAAAAACAATGATATAGAGTGATTGTTGTTAGAAATTGCTTGGACTATTAAATTTTAAACTAATTATAAATTGGTGATTATGAATGAACAGGTTCCACAAAAGCAAGAAGAAACAACAAGAGACAAGAGCTTTATGGTGGTATTAGAAAAAATACAGTACAATAGAACTGTTTAGTGAGTTTGATTTGTAATTAGAGTTTTAGTTGATTGATTAATTGTTGTAATATTAGATGCTTATACTTAAACGATTATACGATTTCATATGTATATATATACTATTTTTGGTGTTGCTGCAATTTAAATAATGAAGATTAAAATTGTTCTTCAAAGATTATGATTTTATAGTGGTGGCGCGTGGGTTTGCAAGGCAATTGAAAGAGGTAACGGATATATTAGGGAAAATTACCCTTTTACCGCATTTCCTACATATATGGTCTCTTTGCCTTTTTATTTTATAAATTTAAAAGGTGTCTAAGAAACCATACATATTTATATAGTATGGTTTCTTTGTTAAATCAAACTAACCACACTAAAAACATGGTTTCTTATGCTAAGAGACCATTGAGATATAAACCTTACATTTTCTGGTCTCTTAGGCGTATTTGGTATGGTTTCTTATCCAATTTTTGTAGTAGTGGAAAAGCCTTTTCAACACTAAATATATAAATATTGTTTGACAAAGAATACATAAAATATGTCATAACTTATTGGTGAAACATTTAACATAAGAGTTTAAGGTTGCATGTTCGAATCTTGTAAGATCATACGCATGTTTTTTTTTTTTTTTTTTTTTTGAAGAAAATGAGTTAAACATTTATAGCGATTGTAATCGCTACAATAATCACCACAATTGGATGTAGTTTTTCGTATCGATTATTGAGGCCAACCCCAGCGATATTGAAAACCACTACTAAAGGCTAAGGCAACGGGGGATATTGTATCGAATGACCATTTGTTGGGAAAGCTTTTTGTTGCAATTACAATCGATACTAAAGGTTAAAATAATTGCTACAAAAAGGTTATTTTCTTTTAGTGAACTTATACAAGCCATAAAAAAATTAAAGACTTTCTCGCGCGATATAAAATAAATGTATACGAAGTATATTAGAATTTCTTTCTATATCTCTCTCGATGCATTAAACTAATAATTAATTTAGTTTGTTGTATTAATAGTATGTCATATTCCGTTTTAATGTATACTCTATTCGTCTCTTTTTGTTTGTCTTATTTGATTTTTAATATCTTCAAGACATATTTTGAAACGTAAATATTTTCAACGTATTTTAAGATGACATTGGATTTCAATTGATTTTTATATAAAGAATATTTGTACCATAGATCATAGGTTATGTTCATATCCAATCACCTACAATCATTTAAAATTTATATTGCCCATATGGCTCATTTGTAACCAAAAAAATCAACATTATCTGATAGCTTTCTTTAAAAGTCAGAAGCTCAAATAAAAGAAATATTATCAATTCTCTAAACCTTTTGGTTTGGAAGCTAAGAGCAACGTGTATTTGGGGGGAATCGAACAAATTACCTCATACTTCGTAATAAGTAGTACGTAATAAATCATAATAGAATTCTGATGCTTCAGAAATTCCTGTAAGACAACTTTTATTTAGACATTTGACCAAGTGAACTCTTTTGCAAATACTTGGACAACAACTAATGTTTTTTTTATTATAAGATTGCAAATGCTACAAGATATCTAGTTAAGTTAACCCCCTAAAATTGTCTTTGGGAACTTTTATCTTGTCTCAATTTGTGCTTCTGACTTTTAAAGAAAGCGATTAAGCAACAGCTATATTTTTGGTACAAATGAGGCATAAGAGCAATATAAATTACAAATGATTATAGGTGAGGGGATATGAACCTAAGCTATGATTTATCGTACAAAGGTTCTTAATGTTAATCGGTAGTTAAGACCTCAGTGGTTAAAATCTTGTTTATTTGTTTTGTAGCATCATCGATTGTACTAGAGCAATTTGTGAATTGGAGAATTTGCTATCTCTCAAAGTTTCTTTTGTTAAGTTGTAATACATAGTTTCTGTATTCTTTTTTTATGATAACATTTGGAATTTTACATTATTCACACATACTAATTTAATCGTCTTTTATGATTCATAGTTTCATATAAATGAATTGTCATTTGGAATATGTTTAGATTTGTTTTAAAGTATACTTTCAAAATATACACTTTTTGTAAATTTTATAAAAAAAAATGGAACTTAAGATATGAAGGTTATTAAATGTGTATTGAAAACCGTAAAATCTCCATTGTTGCACTTTTTTTTTTTAAAAAAAAAAAGAGAAATTATTTGGTAATAAAGTTAGTTTATAATTAATGCAGTATATATACGAAGTAATGTTAACTCATCCACCCATATAATGAGAAGTTTGAAAGTTAAAATTAGTAAGATAAAAAAACATAAGATGACAACTGTTTTGGGTGTTTTTGTCCCTTGGGAGAGTTACGTCATGAAGTCTGATCCGGCTGAGTTGTACCTGAAAATAACGGAGACTCCGGGTGGTTGGAGCTCCGCCTCCGACGGTCAAGTTAGTAACTTGAAAAGGAATAAAGAGAACGGAAATTTAAGTGGGTATCTGCTCGGATTCCAAGCTCAGGTCTTTCTCTGATGTGAGAGAATGCAGGTGTAATAAATGATTGAATATGTCCCCAAAGAGGGAAATATCTCCCTATTTATAGGGTCCTTGGAAAACGTGCCCCTATCTAGGTCACTTGAACTACTTTCAGTGGGCTGCGCCGTAAAACGGCGCTTCTAGGGATTTGGGCCCTTGAAGGCCGCACTTTCAGAGGTGTATCTGAGGGCGCCAAGTGTCGAAAGGATGTTAGGCCACGTGGGCCATCCTGAGCTCGACACGTGGTTTCCTCTCATTGGTCCACGTGTCTAGGGTATTTTTACCCTAAACATTTGCCCCTCACAGGTTGCACGTGCATATTACGTGGGGCCTGTGACATGTGTCCACCTTTTATGGGTGAATAGTAACGGGTAAAATTTTTGGATTTCAAATAAAAATTTCCCCCCACTTTCACTTTCTATAAATAGAAAGTTACCCCCCCTCCCTTTTCACACTTTACGTTCACATTTGACTTTTTAGTGAGAGAAAGAGAGAGATTCTCTGCTCCCGTCTGCGTCACAGCAAGTTCACGTTTCCGAGTGCGAGCAGTTCAACACCCGGTTTACCGGCTGTAGCGGTTTTAAGATTTTTCAGAGTAAAAGCGAGGTAACCGCCTGTACCATTTTAGCTTTTCTCCCTTTCAATTTGTATACCATTTTTTCTCCGCCTGTATACCTAGTTTATTAGAGAATATAAATGAGTTCTCAATCCACCCACTCGGCACTGCCTAGGACACTCAGCCGATCCCCAGGAACGGCTGAGTCTAGAACAAGGGGGTGCCTTTGCTGGACTGTCGGAACCGATATGCTCATCTCCAAATTCCTCCCTCTCTGTGTCTGTGCAGAACACAATGGCCAGAACGAAACAAACGACCAGACGGTCTAGGAGCCGGCGCACTATGGAAGTGCTAGCCGATGAGGTGTTCCCAGACGGGGAACAGAGGGATTGGGAGGAGAGTGGTTCCGAAGAAGAAGCTCCCTCTACTTCCGGGAGCTCCGGGGTACGAGAGGTAGACGGCGAGGGAGCCGCCTCCTCTAATGAAGCTGGCGATGCTGAGGCCGGCCAAGGGTCAAGGGCCGAATCTTCCGACTCTGACCAGGACAATTTTGCGGCTGACTATCAGCAGCCGCCCAAGGTCGCTGACAACCCTAACCCTAAAAGGACCCGGATGCTGTCGGGTAACATCGCCCTCCTTAATAGCGGATTCAGGGCCTTCAAGGAAAAGCACCCCTTTGGAAGGGGTTCGAAGATTATTGTCCCTTCGGCTGACGCTGTAATGGCTTGGAGCGATGATATTGAGCACGCAAATGACTACTTCATCTGATACGAGGCGGTTATCAAAGTCAGCCTCCGGTTCCCCCTCCACCCCGGGTTTAGGAAAATCCTTAAGGGGTACGACCTAGGGGTTTGGCAGCTCACCCCCAATTCGTGGGTGAATATTCTAAGTTACATCGCCGCCTGTGAGTTTCAAAACTTGAACCCCAGCTTCTCCGCCTTCGCTCATATGCACTATTTGAACAGGGCTCCAGGCGGCCATGGGGCATGGATGGTATACATTGACTACCCTGCCCCAATACTTGATGACTTTGGACAAAGTGTCCAAATGGTCAGGGTGGAAGGACAAGTTTTATTTGGTTTCTTCCCCCACCTTAAGACACAACCGGACACTGCGCCGGTACAATACTCAACCGGCTCTTCTTGGACGTAAATGCCCTCTCCCGGCGTTATCTATTAAGGCCCGGGAGCAAATAATGGAGCCGGGATTTTTTGAAACAACAACTGAGCCCATGGGGGATGGGACTCACATCATAGTACCCAAAAACTAGATCCACCATCCGGACTTCTTCAAGGACGAGTGCTTCTTGTCCGCCTGCGGGCTGAGTACCATGTTTCCCAGGGGTAGAATACTTATCATCCGGAATGATTGTTATTTTACTTTAATTGCAAACTTGCCATAATTTTCTCTAACTATAAATTCTTGTTCTTGCAGACGAAGCCTTGAGAATGGTTGATCAGGCAAAGACTCCGGCCAAGTCTGCGGCGCTGCTGCGCAAAGAGGCTGCGCTTGCCAAGAAAGTAGCCGTCGAGGCTAAGGATTCCAAAAAAGGCGGGGTAAGACCGCCTGACTTGATGTGTTTGCATTTTTTTTTACCGGTTGGGTATACTTACCCTTTGTTTATTTCTTAGGAGTCCGTCAAAAAGATTCCACGATCCTTCTCCAAGCTGCTCAAAAGGCAAGGAGATGATCTGGAGAAGACTCCGGCTGCGAAAGCCGCCAGGAAGGACCCTCCTCCACCCCAGAAACAAACATCTGCCCAATCCAGTCGTCCAACGACTGGGGTCAAATCCCCTGTTGTGTTGAGAAAATTGAGCAAAAGCTCGGAACGCTCGCAGCAGAAAGCGCCGGATGCCTCTACGGCATCGAAGGGTGGTGATCCACCCAATGTTGCAAGTGGTGCGGCAACGCCTGGGGAGGAGCAGAAGCCGGAGACCCATCTAGAAGCCCAAGGTAAGGGACGGATTGAAATACCTTGGCCACTTGATTTTATGAGAATCAAGACCAAGGTCGATCCCTCTAAGGGGTCGGTCAGCAGCCGGCAAAAGATGAATGTCGACTACGCTGCCTCTATCTCACAGAGTACTACTTTTGATGCAGATCTGACTTCTGACGAGCCGAATCTTGCGAGCTTTGCAAAACGGATGGTGAGGACCCTCACCCGGTCTGAGAAGAACTCCATACCTGATCTGCAGGTCGTGGAATTTGACCGGATAATGGGCCAACTGGCTGAGGTAATGAATCCCACAACCTTGTTATTTTTTATCTTTAATTCTACTAAGTAACTCATAAGCTGGCTGTTATTGTCTCAGGTGATGCTGAGAGTAGACGGCCTCCGGGGCCCCTTTAGGCGGAAACAGGAAGAGGTAAATGACGCCAAACGGAGGGCCCTTAAAAATCTCAACTCAGCTGAATATTCTGATTATATGTGTAATTTAAAGATTAAAGCAGTAGAGTTGAAACAGGAGGAGATGATCCGGAGTTTGACGGCTGCAAACGATGAAGCTAACAGCCGGGCTGATGACCTTGACAAGCAACTGAAGGATGCCAAATCAGATCTCAAGGCATTAGAGGATGCTGACAAGGAAAATGCCCAACTCCGAGCAGACGTTAACCGCCTGGGTGTTGAGCTTGTCAATCTGCGAAACAAGCAGTCGGACGAGCTTGCCCAGGAACAAAAACCGCTGACAGAAGAGAATGAGCGGGACAACTTAGCCCGGCTGAAGATCACCTGGAGCCTCCTTTACCCAGAAATAGACTTTGAAGTCTATAAGTTGAGGTATGATTACGCCTCTGAGGTGTATGATGCCCAGCTACTGGGTGATGCTCCCCCTCCTCGCTTCAAGGATTGGGCTGCTGAGCAGGGATACGATGTCTCTGATACTGAGGAGCCGCCGGATGGGCATAACGAAGGCCAAACTAGCCAAACTCAGCCGGAGCAGCCACCTTAGCCTTAGGCGGGCCTCCCCAAACTTCTGCGGCAGTATGCCATTCTTGTTTCTATACCGGTTTGTATGCCGTGTTATGTTGTATTTTTACCAACCATGGGTTGGGTTAACATTTTATTTCTCTCTTTCTTCACTGGAAGTATCCGGTTAACACTTGATCTAGCCTTTGCGCCATGTTAAATATTAGTGAAGTATTTCGAGCTAGTCGGTATTTATATATGTTTAAGTTATGAGTTTTTCAATTTGAAATTTTTTGCATATGCTTGCAATTCTTTAATATTTTGCCTATCTTAAAAAAGCATGCGGCAGTTTGCAATCCGGGTACTCTTGCCCCTGGGCGGCTGTGTGGTTGGTTTTATTTCAAATTGATTGATTGGCTTGAAAACACTTGATACTAGGAGGAGTATGGAGTGTTTTTAGGCCAATCAATCACAATGGTGATTGCTCCAAACCAAGTACACAGCCGACCATTAGAATGGGTGCTTTGAGCTTCTTGCCCAGGCTGTTGTATTCCATCTGGGGTTGACGCGTAGCCATTACACAATCTTTTAGCCCCAATAGGAGGAGTAAGTGTAACTTTGGAATAAATAACCTAAGTAAGAACTTCAGCCGATGACCGACTGATGCCTCAGGGCATCCGGTTTTCGGTGACTTAATCGTTCTTTAGATTATTCTGGTCAGACGGCTATGAGCTGACCAATTTGGTCTTTCAATTTTCACCATCTGCGTTGGTACATAGAACCGACGAATAGTCTTTTCTCTGCGATGATTGCACCTAGAGGGGTGTTGTCGGACGCCTTTGTCCATGTTGGGACATGTGGTTTTGTAAAATAAGCAACCATCCGGCTATATTGGCCTTTGGTCTTGTTAGAGACCGGTTGTATAGCCACTAGGAGTTTTTGTGCCAAGTTTACGTGAACTTAGTTAGTTGAACTAATAATACGTCTGAGTATTACCCAAACGGATAAGCAATTGATAATTTACAAAGTATCCAACGCGATTAATCAAACAAAGAGTCCGTCTGAGCTCTACTTAGGCAGACTAGCAATTATTAAATTACACCAAGTATCCAACTTAGTGATTCAAATAGAGAGTCCATCTGAGTTTTACACAGGCGGACTAGCAATTATAATGTTCAAGTAAACTAAGTATCAAACTTAGTTAGTTAAACTCAGGGTCCGTCTGAGCATTGCCCAGACGAACGAACAATAATAATGGCAAAATAAATCTGCAAATAAAGCCTGAATTTTCATTAATTGACTTACTGCTTACAAAAAATATACATTTTCAGAAGTAGTACTTCTTCAGGTTATCTACATTCCAAGTTCTAGGCAGTCGGCGATCGTCTAGGGTTTCCAAACGGTAGGTGCCGTCCCTGACTTCTTTATAAATTCGATAGGGGCTTTCCCAATTAGGGGTCAGCTTCCCAGCCTCATTAGCTCTACCGGTTGCCTCCATTTTTCGTAACGCAAAGTCATCCACCTTTAGAGGACGCTTGTGCACTTTCTTGTTATAAGCTCTGGTCATTCTCAGACGGTATATCTCATGGCGCAGGGCAGCGTTGCCCCTGCGTTCCGGGAGGGAGTCCAATGCTAGCCGCATGGCCTCCCAATTTGCCTCTTCATCATAGAGCATATCTCTGAGAGTTGGCTTGTAATGCTCAATGGGCAAGACAGCTTCAGCACCGTATACCATAAGAAATGGGGTTTCTCCGGTTGCCCCTTTAGCAGTAGTCCGGATGGCCCATAGGACATGAATTAACTCTTCTGCCCATAAACCACCCGCTCTTTCAATTTTCTTTCTTATGCCGTCTGAGATGAGTTTGTTGAAGGCCTCAACCTGGCTGTTTGTTTGGGGTCGGCCGACTGATGCAAAACAGTGTGAGATACCCTAATCTCCCAACCAAGTCTTGAGCTGTGGGGTCTCGAACTGAGGGCCATTATCAAACACCACAGACATAGGTACCCCAAACCGGGTGATGATGTTCTTCCAGAAGAAAGAGATGACATCCTTTGTCTTGATGTTCTTAACCGGCTCAGCTTCTACCCATTTGGTAAAATAATCCACAGCCACCAAAATGTAGCGCTTTCCGCCTAGAGCAGGCGTATAAGGTCCTAGGATATCCATGCCCCATTTGGTAAATGGGAGTGGGCTGTGGATTGCCGTCAAATCAGTAGTTGGGCGGTGAATAAGAGGGAAAAACCTTTGGCATTTGTCACATCTTTTGACTAACTCTTTAGCATTTTCTTCAAGAGTAGGCCAGAAGTAATGCCGCCTGGCTCTGACGGCTAGGGACCTGCCGCCTATATAAGAGGCGCAGTACCCAACATGCAATTCTTCGAGAACTTCTTTCCCCTTCTCTGGGGTAACACACTTCAATAGAGGTTTGAGGAAACCCGCCTTGAAGAGTTCTCCGTTTCTCAACTCAAAGTTTGCTGCTCGCTTTTTCATGACGACTGCCTCCTGTGGTGAATCAGGAAGCTTTCTGTCTGCTAAATATGCCCGGATGCCATCCATCCAGGTAGAACTTCGGTCCAAGATTCCAATGGGCTCTTCATGTATGCTTCTATTTTCAAGAACTTCCCAAAAGACCGACCGAGGAGTGTCACAGCAGCCGGATGAAGCCAATTCGGACAACGCATCCGCCTGGTTGTTGTCTGACCTAGGCACTTGATTCAGACGGAATTCCTCAAGTGCCCCAACCTCTTCTTTGACTGCCTGAAGATATTTGATCATAGCCGAATGAGTTGCTTCATATGTTCCCTCATACTGGCTGACGACCAACTGTGAATCAAAATAGGCATCAATTTTAGTTGCCCCTGCTGCCTTACACATGCGGATTCCGGCTAGCAGGGCTTCATACTCCGCCTCGTTGTTTGAGGCTTGAAACTTAAAACGCAGTGCATATTCAAATTTGTCCCCCTTAGGAGACTCATATATAATTCCTGCACCACAGCCGTTCTTCGTTGAGCTTCCGTCTACATACACTTTCCAAACTTGGTCAATATTATCCGGTTGCACCGGTCGAGTCATTTCAACAATGAAGTCGGCAAACTCCTGACCTTTCACTACCTTTCTAGGTTCAAAAGTGATTTCAAGACTTTGCATTTCAACATTCTGCCGGATGACTCCAAAGTAGACATTGGTCGCTTGAGTGGCTGGTCGGTGTAGATTACCACCGGATGAGCCAGAAAATAAGGTTTCAATTTCTTGAAAGCCATATACAGGGCAAGGCCAAATTTTTCTACCATGGGGTACCGAAGCTCAGCATTTTTTAGAACATGGCTAATGAAATAGACCGGAAGCTGAACACCGTCTCTCTCAGCAAGGAGAACGACGTTGAGGGCATGATCCGAGACGGCTAGGTACATGTATAAGACCTCTCTAGGCAGTGGGCTAACAAGCCTTGGCAAAGAGTGCAAGTGTTCTTTCAGCCGTTGAAAATCCGCCTCCGCATCATCCCCCCATTCAATTCTGGTCTTCTTCCTGATTGCTTGGAAGAAGTAAAGGCATTTGTCACCTGACCGACTGAGGAATCTCCCTAAGGCGGCCAGGCAACCGGTTAGTCTCTGTGCTTCCTTGACAGTGCGGGGTGACTTCATGTCAATCACCGCCTGTATCTTCTCAGGGTTAGCCTTTATCCCCCTTTGATCAATCAGGAATCCGAGAAACTTCCCAGACTCAACACCAAAGACGCATTTCTTAGGATTTAACATAACCTTATGCCGCCTGAGTGTGATGAAGGTTTCTCGGAGCTCAGCAAGGTGATCCGCCTGCTGCTTGGATTTGACTATCATGTCATCAATGTACGCTTCTACATTCCTCCCAATTTGATTAATAAAGACCGTATTAATCATCCGTTGGAACGTAGCCGGCGCATTTTTCAGGCCAAACGACATCACAGTGTAGCAGAATAACCCCTGATCAGTGACGAAGGCCGTCTTTTCTTGATCTTTCTTCCGCAGGGGTATCTGATGGAAGCCGGAGTAGGCATCCATAAAGCTCATCAAGACATGCCCGGCTGTCGAATCGACCAGACTGTCAATCTTAGGAAGCGGATAACTGTCCTTGGGACATGCCTTGTTGAGATCTGTATAATCAACACACATACGCCAGGTACCATTCGGCTTCTTTACAAGCACAACATTCGCCACCCAGTCGGGGAAATTACATGGCCGAATGAACCCAGCATCCAACAGCTTTTTAACTTCGGCAGCTTCCGCCTGACTTCTTTCCTCGTCGTGATTTATTTTCTTCTGCTGGATGGGCTTCTTTTTAGGGTCCACGGCGAGTTTGTGGACAGCAAGATCCGGGCTGACGCCTGACATCTCTTCCACTTCAAAGGCAAAAATGTCTTTGAATTCTTTCAGCAGAAGACGCAAGTCTGCACCTAACTTAGCAAAAGCAACCGTCCCAACCTTCTCGGTACGCTCCGGACGGTTGTCGTCCAGAGGTATATCAATGTGTTCACCAGCCGGTTGGGGACGGAGCTCATCTGACCGTTCACCGGTCAGTGATTGCTATTTTTTCTCTTTCTTCACCTCCACCATCATAGGTGCCTTTCTTATCTTCCCGGCTGCTGGTGGGGCTGGTATTGGATCAGCATCCTTGACATTGTCAAGGTCTATTGGTTCCTGGCCGTCTTCGGCCACAGTATCTTTGACGGCTGAGAGATAGCACTCCCGGGCCGTCTTCTGATCCCCGTTCAAGGAACCAACAGAGTCGTCATCCCTCTCATACTTAATGAGCATGAGGGAAGGGATGATTACAGCCTTGGATTCGTTGAGGGTTGGCCGGCCCAAGATAATGTTGTAGGCGGTCAACTCCTCAACGACCAAAAACTTGACGACTAGGTGTCGCCCTTTCCCTTTCTCACCCAGCCAAATGGGTAGATCGACCCTCCCGACTGGGTAAACCATTCCACCCCCAAAGCCAACTAAGGGGTGGGTAACCGGATGCAAGCTGCTGTCATTGTATTTCAGCTTCTGCAAGCACTGGAGACT